CATATTGTTTTATAATTGTCTACTGGGCACATATGAGCTTAAATAAATATAAATGGCACAGCATATTCTATGAGATTTCATGACGTTCAGCAAATCATATAAAACCATTGGAAGAAATGAAATCTGTTTCCATTTCTTCATTGGGTAAGGTGGCCAGCAGGCTTTAAATAGAAAAGTAAAAATTATTAGATATCTTTGCAGAAAATGATACAATTTTAGCACATTTAGTAAATGTTAATCAGTTTTTATAGCAGAGTCGCTAATTCTTAGGGAAATGTCTGACAAGCATAGCGCTTAACTAATGAGGTGGAGTTGACAAAGCAGAGAAGAAGAAGAGAGAATGAGTGGAGGAAGTATAGGGGTTTAATGAGAATACCTCTCATGCATATGTTATAATATATTATATTTTATAAGTGGTCAGTAGCGATAGAAATCCAGCTGTGGGTGGCCTCTACCTTGTCTCCTTTAGATGGTGCCCTGTACAACCACACAGTTCATACATAGAATATGTCAGCTTTGCTGCCAACAAATTTGTGCAGAATAATGTTACCAGATCTCACTTTTAGGTGCCGGCAGGCTGGCACAGTGCATTTAGATTATGGGTTTTCAGAACCAAAACTGATTATGGGCCACCTTTTAGGCCGATAACCAATATAAGGAGCTGATATTCAGTGTTCGGCAGATGAAAACATAGCCTGGTGACCTGACTATGTGTTCATCTGCCAGAAGCAAAATTCTGCAGCTGGCAGCTGAATGCAAAGAGCAGGCAGAGGGCCCGATATTGGTTGACCCCTTCTAGTGATGGTAATGAAGGGAATCCCCAGTCCTCCCCTTCCTGGCCCCATTCATCTGCTGGCGGCTAGATTCCACAGCTGGCAGCTGAACGTAAACAGCAGGCAGTGGGCCTGATATTGGTCGGCCCCTTCTAGTGATGGCAATGAAGGGGAGCCCCAATTATCCACTTCCCGGCCCCATTCATCTGCCGGTGGCTGTTTCAAATTGCAATAACCAATAGCAGGCTGTCTATTGCACCCGCCCACTGTCTGCTGTTAATCAGCAGAGGAGCGGACCTGTCTGAGAAAGTTCAGAAAGACAAAAACGAGCAGTTAATCCTTACATTGCAGGGGTAGCATTTCTGCAAGGGTTAAGAACACTTTTGTTTCTTTAAATCTTTAAAGTTCTTCTTTACATCCTCACCTAACAATGAAAATAATCCCTTTCCAAATTGGAATGTTAACTATGCTCTTGAAAACAATGTACTTATTTTATCCATATGTATCTCATCCATGTGAACCCTAAAGTTACAGTCCCGTGCTGACAATGACTAGCGCAAAAATAGTGTCCCCAAATTTGCAGATCTCATGTGACACATTATTAAAAATAAAAAGATTCAGCACTAAAGCTGCCTGTCTAATTCCCTTTATGGCAGACATCCTTGTGCTGAGCAAAATCATTAAATGTTCAGCCAGCACTTAATTGTGTTTACCGATTTGGAAAGTTTGGATATCCGTACAGTCAGCCTACAATTTTGTCCCATTGTAAATGTCATACCAATTACAGAGAATGTAGGAACAGGAAGTACGAATAAAAACTTTGGAATGATGTTTAATGAGCAGAGAATGATTATCAGAGTGCACCATGGTATACACGTGTAAAATAAGTAGTTCAAAGATTTCATGAATTTGTACAAGAACTGGCCAACACCTAGTTTAAGTTCTCCTGTCACTTTGTATCTGCAACTGATGTAAAGAATAACGCTGGTCTAATACAAAAGAAATATATTGTATAACGAGAGTTGGCTGAGTCACTAAATATAACCAATTAGCATATTTATCTTTTCTCCTTGTAATGGAAGGGCAACTAATGCACAGTTCACAGTTCAGTAAAGCATCGCAACCACGATCAGTAGATTGCAAGTGCATTGTTCTGGCTGCTGCAGACTCTTTCTCCTGTCCATGTCCATACCGAGGAATGGACATTCAGTACCTTGGATGTGTCATTGGACTAGAAGAGCAGTGATGTCACCGCACTTGTATGTATTTGAATCTACAAGTCCCTTTGCTTTAGTGGCTGTTGGGACTTGTAGTTTCTCCATTCACAGATTCTGTCAATTCAGAAAGTAGTAGCAGCCTGCGGGGAGTAGAACCCCACTATTCAAGTAAGTGGGGAGGAGGACAGGTGCTTGCAATCTGATTATGTTTCATGTTACACCCTAAATATGGGTCTAAATACGATAGTCCTGTGTATTCTTACTTAAATCTTGGAGAGCTTTGTGTATTTTTTCCAGATCTGTGCAATAATCCAGTGTGAAACTTTGCCTCTATGCAGGAACCTCCTGTAATACAGACCGGTCCCTGCTTCTCTCTCTTGTGCAGGGCGGCTGGTCTTGTATCTGCCCCCTCCTGCAGTTTTCTGCAGGCAGCCTGTAGTAGGTGGAGCTTCTAGGTTCCTCCCACAGCTCTATTCTCTGTGATGATGTCACTGCTACTTTTATATGGTAAAACCAGGGTTTGCATAAGGTGTTTGGTGCACACAAAGTGGATATCCTCTGTGGCTATTAATACATATAAATATTTAAATATATTATATATTAAATATTAATATGTACGTTTTTGTGCCTGCAATCCAGCTACCTCTGCTTCTTGGCCCGGTAGCAGTCGATTGGTATGCAATGGTTTTGGTAACACTTTGATCCATGATGCAGGTGCCGGAACACATATTGAGCTGCAAAATATGTAAGCAATGGCCTCATAAGCCATAGAGCACACTGGTGCCCTGTGTTAATTTCGTCGACTAACAATTTCTGTCATAGTTTTCATCAACAACACTTTTTTTGGTGACTAAAACTAAATAAAAACTAACAGGGTTATTCACAAACGGGTGAAGAGTTTTGGCCTAGATTGTTCTAGTTTTAGAACTTTAGTAATTTATTGTTTTAGTCCACTAAAACTAGACTAAAATGTTAGGGAGAGACGATTTGGGAAGAGATACAATCAGAATTAATCTCTTTGGACTTCCAGTTCCATCCTGAATGATCGGCTAATAGGTAATATGTACAATGGCATTACAGCCAATATAGTTTTTCATTATAATATTTTAGAGTTGCACTTCTTTTTGAAAGAATGAAGACTGTCATATGCCAGTTGCCATAATCAATGCATATCTAATTACTGGTCCTATGTTAAAAATACTCAATGTTATTGTTTCCTTATAAGACTTGGTTTAATCTAATTTTAAGATAAATAAAGACATGTTGTACGTCACAGCAGTTAAATCTGTGTCTCTATTGCATGTTCAAACCTTAATACCATAAGTAATAACAGGTTAACAGATGTTTACTCTAGGAGTATATCATGAGATTGGAAATTCTAGAGAAATTCCTAAATTACTCATTAACTAAACACACTAGATTTTAGTAGACTAAATCTACTGTAGATTTAGTTGACTCAAATCTTATAATATTTAGTTGACTAAAACTAGACTAAAACTAAAACAATTCAGATGACTAAAATATGGCTAAAACTAAACAGCATTTAAGTCAAAAGACTATGGGGGTGATTTACTAACCTAAACACACGCACGCACTAGGTGCATGTGATTTTTACACCGCAAAACGTATTTATCAACCAAAAAGTCTCTAAAAGCATATTTCCACTAATGCCATATAGGGAAAAATCATGCACATGATGCATATATAATGCTGCTTCACAGTTTAGACAAAAATGGTTAGCTCATGCATTTACATTCCTGCATTCATCAACGCAATCAACACAATGTAGAGCTAATTTACACAACATCACCTTGCAATTCAGGCAGGGCTTTGCACAACACACCTGCTGGGTGTGTACACACTACAAAGGTGTCTAGATTCCACCAATAGATCATGCTGGGAGGGAACACACTACAAAGGTGTATACTTGTTCGTGGCGTGTTTATAAGGTTAGTAAATCAACCCCTATGACTAAAACTAAATCGAAATTTGCTGTCAAAATGAACACTGCTGGTGCCCCAGTCAATCAAAACTCAGTGAGGGCCACAAAGGAGTAAGGCATAATTCACACTGCTAAGAGCCGGCCTGTACAGATCCGTGTAGCGTGCACAGCCATATCGGGCCACTCCCGGGAAGAACAGGTGCTGCGTGTGATTGCACGCAGCAGCCTGTTCTTCTCTATTGGAGTACACAGCTGTACACTCACCCAAGCTGCACATCCGTACGGGTGCGGGTGTCCATGCTCGGACGCAGACAGGATCCATCCTGTCTGCATAAGAGTACAGACACCCGCACAGATGTGTTGTTAGGGTGAGCGTATGGCGGCGTATGGCCGCGTACTCCCATAGAGAAGAACAGGCTGCTGCATACAATCACACGCACCTGTCCTTCCCGGGAGCGGCCCAATACGGCCATGCACGCCGCACGGATATGTACGGGCTGGCCCTTAGCAGTGTGAATGAGGCCTAAGAGGGGCTGTATGCCAGCCAGGTAAAATGTATGGAAATCAATTGTTTTGAATAAACTACACCAGTGTGTTGTCATGCAGCAGAAAAGAGGCCTAAAAGGCTGTGTTTTGTACGTGTTTACCTGCAGTTTGCTATTCAATCGATTCAATGCTGTGTTTTAGTGGGCGGAGCTGTGCCAGAGCTGCCACGGTTTACATTTTTTCTTTTTTTTTTTACTTTATTAGTAGTGTACAGTGTGTACACTATATTCAGGTCCCCACACAGCAGCAGGCCAGGTCCATGTAACATGTATTAATACAAACATTTGTGTGTGAGCGAGCCATGAATCATTTGTTGTGTATCCTGCAACATCCAAAATTTGCAGGTGGATATATGTTCCATCCCACGTCATAGCATCATCTATATATCTACATATAAACATCTATATATTTAGGAAACCTTTGACATTTTATTAAAAAACTTTAGGCCTTTTTCAGTTCTAAAATTGATACAAATATTACTTTTGATGTTTACAATGAACGTTTTCCTTTGTCTTTCCCCAGGAATGTCCCAGTGGGATTGTTAATGAAGACAACTTTAAAGATATTTACGCGCAGTTCTTCCCACAGGGAGGTAAGTCTCCCCACGTGCGCTTACATGGCATCGGCAGCTCGTCGGTTAATAGTCGCCCCGTGTTCTTCAAGCATACAAAAGCGGCTGTTAGTCAGCTCTGTAGCTAAGAGCACATTGGAGACGGCAGCCTGTCTGCGATCCTGTCATCCATACTAGAGAGATATGTAAATAAATGAACACAACAGATGTTCAGCAGTAACAACATTAGCAGCTCTCATCACAAGTATCCTATAATGTGCTTTTTATGTGCTCGGGTCGTCTGCGGGGAAAATGTAATAATTTGCTCAGATAAACTATTGTCAGGTTTACATTAAATTGTATTGTATGTTATGAGGCAAGTAAATAAAACATGAAATGCGTTATTAGCATACAGCTTCAATTATAACAAGCACTCAACAAATGCCGGTATTTATGATAATCAAACCATCTGCCTCAATAAAAAAAATGAATAAATAAAAATACTGTATACACAGTCATATGCAAAAGAAAGTACACCCTTTATGAATGCTATGGTTTGTAGGACATAATACAAATCATCTGGTCCTTAGCAGGTCTTAGAATTAGGTAAATACAACCTCAGATGAACAACAACACATGACATATTACAACGTGTCATTATTTATTTACAAACGTAAAGCCAAAATTGAGAAGTTATGTGAGAAAATAGCTTGTAGAACCACCTTTAGCAGCAATAAGTTGAAGTAATCATTTTCTGTATGACTTATCAGTCTCTCGCATCATTGTGGAGGGGTTTTGGATCACTCTTCTTTACAATGTTGCTTCAGTTCATTGAGGGTTGCAGGCATTTGTTTACGCACCAATGTCCCACCACAACATTGCAATCGAGTTGAGGTCAGGACTTTGACTGGGCCATTGAAACACCTTGATTCTTTTCCTTTTCAGTCATTCTGTTGTAGATTTGCTGATGTGTTGGGATCATTGTCCTGTTGCATGACCCAATTTCGGCCAAGTTTTAGCTGTCGGACAGATGACCTCACATTTGACTCTAGAATGCTTTGATATACAGAGGAGTTTGTGGTTAACTCACTGACTGCAAGGTGCCCAGGTCCTGTCGCTGCAAAACCAGCCCAAATCATCACCCCTCCATCACTGTGCTTGACTTCGGCTTTTATAGTGGTGGTCATACTTTGTGATGTACTTAGTTTTTCACACATAACTTGTCAATTTTGGCTTTATGTTTGTAAAATAAATAATGACACAGTGTAATCTCTCATGTGTTGTTGTTCATCTGAGGTTGTATTTAACTAATTGTAATAGTTAAAAAAAAAGATTCACTTATATGGAAAATGTTCACTTTTTAACTATTGCTTTGCAGGGGTTTTGCCTTTTCCTTTTAGAGCATCTAGAGCTTAGACAGAAGCTTTTTTTCATGAAGCATTGCAAGGACAAAGTGCTAAGGGCAAAGTACAGTAGCTATTGCAACTAATCAGAATTTACTTTACTGAGAGACTGGTACAAGGTGAATATACAATAGCCCTTTGTGGGGGGTTTTTTGAGTGTTTGAAGTGCGGCCCTCGGGCCCCAGCAGTCAGAAGTGGGAGCATTGATTTGTAAAGGAGCCCTTAATAGCAGTAATCTTTAGCAGTTTCCTGTAAATGTCCCCAGTCTCTGAATGTCTCCTACAACACAACTTCAGTCTCCAACCACTCCTGTAGAACAATCTGACCATTTCGTCTTGTAGGTCTTCAGTTTATGATAATTTTCTGCAGAATTACTTATAATAATGAGGCCCTTTGAAGACATCAGGGGCATTTGAGGCCCCCTATACCTTGTAAGTTGATAACCGCAACTTTAAATCCTTTAAAATGTGTGCTTGGCCCCACTCCATGCCATCTCTCAAGTCTCCCTATTGGTCCTTTAATGTGATGGTGGCATCAGACTTTGGAGGAGATTTTAGGTATGGTAAGGTCTGGGCCAATGCACCAAAATTTCGGCCTACGAAAAACATATCGGCCAAAAATGGCACTTTTGGCAAGATTCCGAAAGTGCCATCTTTTGGCCGAAATCGCGGTGCATGCCTGGTTGCTCTCCTCCCTGCTGTGCGCTGCTCTGTGTCCCCTGACACAGCGCAGCATCCAGCGGGGAGGAGAGAAACTGTCAGAGGAGGCTAAGCGGTGCGGGGAGGAGAGCGATGTGAGCCGTGATGTCACAGGATGCTGGGCTCTACTCCCGCACCGTCCCCCTCAGCCTCCTCTGACTGATCAGGATGGAGAGTGGTGTGGGGGCGGAGACAGCTGTGTGCTGTCACAGCAGCCCAAGGCGGCAGTGAGGGGGAGGAGTCAGCTGTCCAATGAGACCGAGCTCTTCTCCCCGCACCACCGGCTCACCCTCCTGTGACAGCCGATCTAAGATAGAAGGCAGTATACAAACAGTCAGCGATCAGGGCCGGATTTACTCTCTCTGCTGCTCCAATGCCAGGTTCCTCAGTGATCACTGACTGTTTGTAAATAACTGGACATACTATGAGTTACTATGCACCAGTTATGAATGAATAGGAAGTGATCTACATAATTTCCTGCTCATTCATGATTGTGTACATAGTAACTCATACTATCTCCATAAGTTATGAATGAACAGGAACACTCAGTACAGAAGCTTCCTTTTCATTCATAACAGGGGCTGCAGAAAAAGAGATTGAGGACTCTGTGTCTTCAATCTCTTTTTTTATTTTACAAAGGAAATACCAGGGCTCTGTTTAGAAGCTCCCAGCAGAAAAGTAAAAAAATATAAATATTGAATAAAAAAATTAAAAATTAAATATAAAAAAATAAAATGTTAATAAAAACTAAATACAAATTAAATATTTATGGTTAGGAAAAAAATTACTTTCAGCCTGACATTTTTTTTTTCGGTTTAAAATTTGGTGCACTTCTAGTTTACAGTAAAAGTCACAATTTCTGTTTAGCAGACTATATCCCTGGATCTACTGATCATTTTGACTTGCAATTTTCCCTGAAGGTATCCTCACTGTATGCATTCTTTTTTTTTCATTATATGCAGCCTTTGAATTATCCAGCTTTGTGACAGGTTTACTTTGAACTGTCACACTTTAGAAGTGGGTTTATTGTTCCAGAAAAAAAAAAAAAAGATTTATGCTTTATACCGTGTGAACAAACTATAATTATCAGCTTAATGAAGATCATGAGTCATTTTAACCTCTCTGTAATAAATCTGACAACATGCAAATAATACATGAGAAGTGACATTTGGGCTTTGTGCAGAAAATTAATTGTGATGTTACCAACTATTGAACAATGCCCTCTGCTGCCATCTTCTGGTTATTAATGGTCTGTGCAAAAGGAATGACAATCCCATATTAAAATGTAAGGGAAGTGGGCACTTTTTATATTACAGTGTAGCCTCCCAAATGCAATCTTCCAGGACTATTAACAGGACATGTGTTTCAGACCTCGGGGTAGGAAAATTACTGTTTAAAAAGGATCATGAAAATAGTTTATCTGATTCTTGGAAGGAAGCTGGAAAGTCACAGTGCTGGATGGTTCATAAATACAAGATTAGGAAATACTTGTCTGTTGTAATTAAAAGAAAACTTAAAACAAATGCATGGCTTAAGCACACTTATATGCATTGGTTTATCTGCCAAAAAGAGTTAAAAAGTGATGCATCCACTCTTGTGATGCACCCATCGCAACTAGTTATGTTAGGAAGGTGATAACGCCGATCACAGGTTGCAGTTCTGCCCCGCACCCTGCCTGTGAGTGGAGGTATAAAGTGGTCACCATATTGGATGACCACCTTATACCTCCGATCGCATTAAGTGACAGAACAGACACTCTGACTGCAAACCTGATTTAAAGTGCATCTAAACTCAAAACTAAAAAAAAAATCAATATTGCAGCTTACAAATCCCTAAATGTGCTGGCTGCAATAACTTTTCTATGTTTAGATTTTGTATTCTTTATTTAAACATAGCGATTCGGCCAGTAACACACTTCCTGTCTTAGGGTGGCTCCACTGTATAGAGGCGCAACAGAGCCACCCATGCACAGCAACATTGTCACCCTGTGGGGAGGGTAGTGTTAGATGGACTAGCAGGTTTAGATGGACATGACTAACAAGCTAAAGCTGAACTCCAACTAACACTTTTTATTCAATTCCAGCAACATTTTGTTTTCCTTTTGGGATAAAGATTTGGCATAAATGAATAAAGGTTGACCATTGTAAGCACTACTGTGTTTAACCTCCCTGGGGGTATTCCCGAGTGTAGCTTGGGGTTACTTTTCCATACCATAAGCGGTAACCCGAGCACTCGGGAAAGCCGCATAGCATTTACTTTCCTTGTCCCTCGAGCCGCGCTGTGTTCTGCAGCCAATGCCGGCTTCCATCTTCCGGGTTCCGTCCCTTGCGAACGTACGTGCCGCAGGGGGGCGGAACCGGCTGGATATTGAAAAAAACCTGACAAAGACGAAAAAAATACGAAAAAAAATAGACCGAAAAATGACATGAAAAAAATCATACCGCCAGGGAGGTTAATGGTTTGTTGGTTTGACTCAACCCTCTCTCTCTCTGTCACTTTCACTGGACAGTTTGGTCTGTTAAAGGTAGTTGGAAAATAACAGACTTGCTGGCCACAAGGTTGTAGCTTGTCCGGTTTCAGTGAGGGATCATTCACACCAGATTGTTTGCGTTGTGATATGTTTTTCAACAGATGCTAACGGAAGGGCACCGAAAAAAGAATGGGTGTGAATGGGGCTAGTTCACATTGCTCCGTTCTGTTGTGTTATGTTATGAAAAAAAATAGAACATGCATTACGTTTTATTCAACCCAACGGAACGCAAAGGATCCAATGAGAACTAGCCCCATTCAACGCCCATTCTTTTTTCAGGGACCTTCCGTTAGCATCTGTTAAAAAACAGATCGCAAGGAGATTGGAAGGTGTAACATGGACTTTATGGTGCCTGCTGTCCATTGGTAACTTTCATTTGCATGCCTTATCCTAAGTGAAGTTTAACTTGAATTTATTCACGTTGTCAATAACCTTATAGTTAAATCTGTTTGTTTTTTTTTTATTTGTAGATGCTTCGAATTATGCACGCTTTCTATTTAACGCTTTCGACACAGGCCACAATGGATCTGTGAGTTTCGAGGTAGGTTGCAATCTGTTATTATGATACAAGTTTTGGGGTCTTTCTTTTCTTATTATTTAACTCTTAATCCTAATTTGTTTATGTGATGTGGGAGACACAAATGCAGATTACTGTGTATAATTTAACACTTTTAGCCAATGTACCCTGAAAATGTGTCCAGCCCATCCGCTGTATAATGCTGATTGACTGCTCAGCTAACATTTAGCAGAGCAAGTAAAGCTCATATTGCGATATGGGGAAAGAATTGCTTTTTACATGGTTTGCACCCATTTAGCTCTGCAACCGTGAGAAGAGAGGGCATCAGCAATATAAAAATGGATATTGTTCCACATGTATCTGACTGTTTGAGACGCTCTTACCCCACACATAATTACTATTTTCACAGAACAAGTCTTTCTGAAATGGCATTGGGGGGGTTACATATTATGTGAAGAGATTCAAACATATTCTTCTGGCAACTATGGCAAATGAGATGAAAACAAGCAAATTGTGAGCAGTGGAGATTAGACAGGCTAAAGACTGTGGGCCTCAATATCAAAGTATCTATAACTAAAATGGAGAAGTTATGTGTGAGAATAGCTTGTAGAACCACCTTTAGCAGCAATAAGTTGAAGTAATCATTTTCTGTATGACTTATCTGTCTCTCGCATCATTGTGGAGGGGTTTTGGCTCACTCTTCTTTACAATGTTGCTTCAGTTCATTGAGGTTTGCAGGTATTTGTTTACGCTGCAATGTCCCACCACAGCATTTCAATCGGGTTGAGGTGGGGACTTTGACTGGGCCATTGAAACACCTTGATTCTTTTCCTTTTCAGTCATTCTGTTGTAGATTTGTTGGTGTGTTGGGATCATTGTCCTGTTGCATGACCCAATTTCGGCCGAGTTTTAGCTGTCGGACAGATGACCTCACATTTGACTCTAGAATGCTTTGGTATACAGAGGAGTTCATGGTTGACTCACTGACTGCAAGGTGCCCAGTTCCTGTGGCTGCAAAACCAGCCCAAATCATCACCCCTCCATCACTGTGCTTGACAGTTGATATGAGGTGTTTGTACTGGGATGCTGTGCTTGGTTTTTGCCAAACCTGGTGCTGTGCATTATGGCCAATTAACTCTACTTTAGTCTCATCTGTTCAAAGGACATTGTTCCAGAAGTCTTTTGGCTGTGGTTTGTTCAGATGCAACTTTACAAATCTAAGCCATGCTGTCATGTTCTTTTTAGAGAGAGGAGGCTTTCTCCTGGCAACCCTTCCAAGCAAACTATACTTATTCAGTCTTTTTCTGATTGTACTGCCATGAACTGTAACACTTAACGTGCTAACTGAGACCTGTAGAGTCTGAGATGTAGCTCTTGGGTTTTTTTGCAGTTTCTCTGAGCATTACACAGTCTGACCTTGGGGTGAATTTGCTGGGACGTCCACTCCTGGGAAGATTGGTAACTGTTTTAAGTGTTTTCCACTTGTGAACAATCTTCCTCACTGTAGAATGATGGACTTTAAATTGTTTGGAAATGGCTTTATAATCCTTCCCAGACTGATGGACAGCAACAATTGCTTTTCTAAGATCATTGCTGATGTCTTGCCTCCTTGGCATTGTGTTAACACACACCTGAATGCTCCAGACCAGCAAACTGCTAAGACTTCGGCTTTTATAGTGGTGGTCATACTTTGTGATGTACTTAGTTTTTCACAACATAACTTTAAATAGTAATAAATAAAGAAATTTGCACTGCTGGCTCCAACTCTCTCAGCTCAGCTTCTCTGAACTTCCTGTCCAGTACAAGATCACAAGGGACAAATCAGTCTCCAGCAGGTGTACTTCTACTGGCTTGGGGAAGGGAGGAAAGAGGAGCAGGGAGCAGAGAGGAGGGGAGTGGTTGTGTTTGTTGAGACACACAAAACTTACCAGCACACACAAGGGTGGCTCCATGGGACACTGCAAGGGAATAGAGCCACTCTAAAACAGGATTTCCAGACCACTGCTAAGGGTTCTGCAGGAAAGTGAAACTTTTAAACATGAAGGCGCAGCATCCATTGTAAGTGATTTAATCAACATTTGAAATAGCTTAGACACCTTTTGACTCTAATATTACTTTAAGGAGATCTGAAGATACGACCACTTCCTGAGTCTCTTTTCTCCCATTTCTCTTTTCCCTGTGATGTCCCATTATGCATCCCTGACATCTCTGCTGTTTGCACACCTAAAGGTCAGGCACAGAAAAGATTTGGGTGTGCGCTGGGGGTGGCTAATACAATCTTTGATATGTATAACATGTAATATCATTGTAAAGTCCACTGCAATGGAAACACTGCTACTTAAAGCAACTCTGTCCTCAAAGAAAAAAAACGAAACGTGTAAAAAAGCGTAATAAGATTTACCAGTCCTGCTGCCAATGACATTAAACTTGCTTCATTTGAAGAGCTACACCAGCTGAATAAACTTTAGTGTGTGTCGGATAGCTGTATGCACCGCTGCATTCGCTGTGCGTCCACATACCAGCTGCTATATCCAGGGGCGTCCCGAGGCTGGGTGACACCCGGAGCGGTAACCGAGTGTCACCCCGCCAAGACGTCACTGCGCATGCGCGTGACGTCATCGCGCACACGCGGCAGTATTTTGATACCTGCCGGCGGCCATCTTGGTGATGGACGCCGGCAGAGAGAGGAGGGGACTGGCACCCTCCTCTCTCCTGATACTGTCGGGCGTTCGGTCCATTGACCGAGCGCCTGACTTTTCAGAGGGGGGTGACACCAAAATGACGGGTGTCACCCCTCCAATGGTGTCACCCGGGTGCGGGCCGCACCACCCCGCACCCCCCTTGTGATGCCACTGGCTATATCACCGCTGTGGCCCTTTAGAGCTGCAGTGATGTAAAAGCCTGCAGGTCAACCCCAGTGCCATGGTGACGGACATTGGCACTTGGCACACTTCTGGGGCTGAAGATTCTTTGTCCTGGGTAGTTCTTCAAGAGGGGGAAGAATAAAGTCACTGGTGCAAGGACTGGTAAGTATTTTCACTCTTCTTTTACAAACTAATGTATTTAGTTAGTTAGTTAGTTAGTTAGTTAGTTAGTTACAGAGTCCCTTTTAACCCAGGAGACCCAGGAGATCATAATTCATTCATCCAAGGGAGTCTTTAAAGCACACTGCATTTCATGTGTAATTTAATATGTCATTGAATTTAATGTGTAATATGTAATATTGAATGCATAAAAATATAAAGGAACCTTAAAATTAATTTGCAGTCTTGACAACTATGCAGATTGAGCTGTTTCCTGACATCGGTGTACTTTGTATATGTGAAATACCCCCATACCAAAGCACATTTATCATCCTTTTAATAGTTTATAAATTTCCAAACTCTAGAATGTTATTTTGAAAAATGCATTTCATATAAATATACTGAATATCCTAATTGCTGCTGGCCTGATTTCATTTCTGACCAGATCATTTAACTATATTTTGTTTCAATCCATAACGAGGAAAGTCAATATGTCTCATGGGAGAAAGGAGGCAAAATGAAACGTTTCTGCTGTTGCAGATACTCATTTCCTGTCACAACACCTCCAGTTGTGTCAATGTCTGTTTGACATTATAAAAGTTCATGCGGCAGCACTGAAAATTGGTCTTGTGAGATTGTAGGTTGCCAGTCTTCTTCTGACTATATGCAAATATTTAATCAAATTTTACATTCTAGAGGCCTACAATCATATTATAAATAGCTAATTGCTCACTCCTGAATTTAAATTTTAAATGCAGTGTTTGGTCACCAGTCCTCAGGAAAGATGTCCTCGAACTTGAGAGAGTTCAGAGAAGGGCTACAAAATTAATAAAGGGGAGGTAAGGCCTGAGCTGTGAAGATCACCTCCAGAAATTAAACTTGTTCTCCTTAGAAAAGAGGAGCTTAAAAGGGGACCGAATTGCAATTTTTTACATTATTAAGTTGTTTAGTTTAAATTATTAATGGAGACCACAATATCCGTAACAAGATGTTTACACCAAGTACACAAGGGCACAACAGGAGGTTAGAAGACAGGTGGTTTAATCTTAGACTGCAGAAGGGGATTTTTACTGTGAGAGTAGTAAAATCTACAGGGATGTTTTTGGACCAGACAGAAAACATTCCGTCAAGTGATCAGGAAGGTACCAAGTGCACAGGGGGGCCCGGGACCACAATAATTACACTGCACATATTAAACTATAATACAAAAATCTTGCTTGGAGCCCGGGCCTCCCAGGCTCCTCACACAAGTGATGTGCATACCCCCCTGATGGCAGCCCTGGCTGGAGATTCGAATTGCGACCCCCCCATTCACTTGCGCGACCTCATATGGGGTCGCGACCCACAGTTTAAGATGCCCTGGTCTAGACAACTTAACAGTACAGAACATGTAAACCAATCCATTAAAGGAAACAAAACCACATACTGAGTAATTGCAAATATGGGTTCATTGAGGACACATTGATTTGTAACCTTCAACGCATGTACATCTAAAATGTCTAAAATAAAAAAAGCATAGAGTATGTATCTTATTATATAAATTTACCATTCTTTACTATGCTGACTGGAGTCAGATACATAGATGTAAAACAGTACTAAAGGCATATTGAAGATCCAGTAATCAACTTGTTGGTTCTTCTAGAGTTGATGGCCTTGGCTTAGACCCGTCAGCGCTGAGGCTGCAAAGTTGTGATAAAGTAAAGGATAACTTTTACTTATTTTATCAGTATTGACTGTAATATGCATATCATACTGCAAACAGTGAGGATAAGATTTACAGACTAAGCAAAGGTTCAGAGACTTTTTATTGTGAAAGAAGTTCTTCTGAATCATCTTCCTAAGGATAAGTGGAGCTGTAATACTGAGCACCTCCAGGTCATTTTAGTTTCCCTATTGATGTTCACTGGAGCTATGAATCCTGTAAACTCTGATATGCCAATGTTAACCTTTTCCCATTGGTCAAGAACCTGCTTTCACCCCATACATTTTATTATTGTCCCA